AGCTAATGTTTTGTAGTTTTAGTAGAGACGGGGTTTCACCATGTTGACCAGGATGGTCTCGATCTCTTGACCTGGTGATCCACCCGCCTCGGCCTCCCAAAGTGCTGGGATTACAAGCGTGAGCCACCGCACCTGGCTGTCTCGATTTCTTGACCTCGTGATCCACCTGCCTCAGCCTCCCAAAGTGCTGGGATTATAGGCGTGAGCCACCACGCCCAGCTAATACTTCTTTTTTTACTGTAAATGTCATAAAAACCCACTTTGGAAAAATTGGAGGGAAAACTAAAAGGAAATTAAAATCACCCCCATACTATTATGCTGAGATCATGAGGATTTACATGTTGCTGTATGCTCTAGGATTTCTCTACATGTGTACAGTAAGAGACTAAGTTAGCCTTTTCTTTTTATTTTTTGAGGCAGGGTCTTGCTCTATCAACCAGGCTGGAGTGCAGTGGGGTGATCACAGCTAACTGCAGCCTCTGCCTCCGGGCTCAGGTTATCCTCCTATCTCAGCCTCTCTAGTAGCCGGGACCACAGGTGTGCATTTTTTTCTGGAGACAGGGTTTCACTATGTTGCCCAGGTTGGTGTTGAACTCCTGGCTCGAGCAATCCACCCTCTTCAGTCCCCCAAGTAGCTGGGACTACAGGCACGCTCCACCATGCCCAGCTAATTTTTAAAATTTATTTTTGGCCAGGCACGGTGTCGCGCTTGTAGTCCCAGCTACTCGGGAGTCTGAGGGTGAAGGATCGCTTGAGCCCAGGAGTTCTGGGCTGTAGTGCACTATGCTGATCAGGTGTCCGCACTAAGTTCGGCATAAATATGGTGACCTCCTGGGAGCTGGGGACCACCAGGTCGCCTAAGGAGGGGTGAACTGGCCCAGGTCGGAAAAGGAGCAGGTCAAATCCTGTGCTGATCAGTAGTGGGATTGCGGCTGTGCATAGCTACTGCACTTCAGCCTGGACTACATAGCGAGACCCCGTTTCTAAAAAAAAAAAAAGACAGAAAGAAAAGAAAATTTACTTTTGTATTTTTTGTAGAGATGTGGTCTCACTATGTTGCCCATGTTGGTCTTGAACTCCTGGGCTCAAGTGATCCTCCTCCCTTGGCCTTCCAAAGTGCTGGGATTACAGGTGGGAGCAGTTCGCCTGCTCTAAAGTGGCATTTTCTTTCTTTCTTTCTTTCTTTCTTTTTTTGTAGAGACAGGTTTTCTCCATGTTGGCCAGGCTGGTCTCGAACTACCGACCTCAGGTGATCCGCCCACCTCCGCCTCACAAAGTGCTAGGATTACAGGGGTGAGCCACCGCGCCCGGCCTGAAGTGGCATTTTCATAGTCATAGTTGTGCAGTCTGATTTTCCACGTTATATGAGACCTAGGCACACCGCCAATACTTGCGTTCAAGGCCGTCATTTTTCGCCTCCGTGCAGGCCTTCTGCTGACAGGCTCCCGCTCCGTACAGCGCCCCCGCCCCGCTCTAAAATGCCTCCTCTAAAATGCAAATCGGACTATTCGCCGTCCACTGTGAAGCCCCCGCGGTTGGACCATGGGGTGGTGGGCAAGAGCAGTATCCTTGTGGGGGGGGTATCAGACCCCGCCACCGTCCATCCGCGAGTCGCTGCATGGACGTTAGTGCCACATCTCCTGGGGATCTTGGGAACGGGTAAGAAACAGGGCGGGACGCGCCCAGACACCCCCGAGCCTCACTGGGGCCTGCAGGGCCGAGGCCGCAGGCCCTGCCTGCGCAGGCGCGCTGGGGTCACAAGACGCAGTTAGGGGCGGAGCGTTGCAGGGTGCGTCTCTGGGCTAGGAGACCACGGGGTCTTCAAAACCCCGTCAGGGCTGGCTTCCTGGGGCCTACTGACTGTGGGTCACTTTGCACTGGTGGCCTGGGATCGACTTACGCGTGAAGGGACAGAGTTTCTGGAGGAGACCGCTGCCTCTCAACCGCTGACTCGGTCTCAGAAGGCCTCCGGCAGGCCGCTTGGCGGGAACTGACAACGCGCCAGGCAGGCTCCCCAAGAACGTGCGCCGGCGCGTGTGGGCGGAGTCGGGCGCAGGGGGCGGGGATTCGGGAGGGGGACCGGGAGACAGGGGCGTGGGGCCTCCGCCTCGGGGGTGGAGTCGGAGCGGCGTGGCGACGGCGGTCATGCGGCACGCGGATGCACACGCCGGCGGAGGCGCAATTGGCGGGGATGGCCAGGGTGGCCACAGCCGCCCTGGGGGCGCGGACACAGCGGCAGCTCCAGCCGAGGGAGCTTCCCCACCGCACCCGCCAGGTCCTGGCAGAGACGTCGCATCTGCGGCCAGGGGTTCAGGAATGCGGCCGCACATATTGTATCCTTTCCAAGGGGAGGCGGGGAACAGGCTGGCGGCTACCTGCGCTGCGGCTAGGGCTGGACTCGGGGAGAAAGAAAGGAGGGCGGGCGGGCACCCGGGGAGACGGGCAGGGGTGCTCGGAGGAGGGGAAGAAATAGAAATGGAAGGAGAGAAGACCTGCCAACGGTGACCTGGGCCACGTGAGGAGTAAAGCGGGTGACGCTAGACGGGGTGACCTGAGAGGGGGCTTCAGATGATCAAGAAGGCCTGAGACATAGGCAAAGTCGTATCAGATGGCACCTTAACCGAATGCCCCCCAGCACCCTTAGCGTGCCTTTCCCTACCCCCTTGGAGGCGGAAATCGCCCATGGGTCCCTGGCTCCAGATGCCGAGCCCCACCAAAGGGTGATTGGGAAGGATCTCACAGTGAGCGGCAGGATCCTGACCGTGTAAGTTCTGAAAGGGGCTGGAGTTGGGCGAGGCGACCGATGGAAACGTGGGGGGGCACCAATCGATGAACCCTAAGGAGCGCCAGGTGCGCCGGGCTGGTTTCCACCTGAGGGGCTGTGTCGTGGGCTCCTGAGGCTTTGCTGTAATGGGTGCCTGAGCGGCATAGTGACGGACCAGGAGTTGCCACCTCCAATTTGATTTTCTTTATCCCTCACTTTTAGCCGCTGGAAAGCTGAAGACTGTCGTCTGCTCCGAATTTCCGTCATCAACTTTCTCGACCAGCTTTCCCTGGTGCTGCGGACCATGCAGCGCTTTGGGCCCCCCGTTCCTCGCTAAGCGTGGCCTGGGAAAATGGGGTGAGGGCTAATCTTGCGTCTCCCTAGGTAGGACACCCAGCCTTCCCTAGGGCAGGAGTTCCCACAGTTGCTACTTTACTGTGAAAGCCTCATGGTCGGCCTGTACTGGCCTGTGGGTGCTCAGGGCCCCTTGTTTGATCTGGTTCTTAAATGTTTGTTACCACAGAAAATAAAACTGAGTCTGAGTTTATTTTCAGCTACAGCACCTCCCAATATTCTAGTCATTGTGCTTGGGTTACAGGGGAGGTTCTAGAATTCAGATATCCAAGGAAATTGAAGACAATGTAGGAAATGGAAGAAAATGAAAATCAGCTGGGCTCTGTCATTCAGCATCAACTACTGTCAACATTTTGGAATCCTTCCTTAAAGTTGCATTTATGTACAGTTGATTTCCCCTGAAGTTAATAGTAATAAACGTGTAACTGTAATATACACCATATAATTTTTGCAAGTTTAGCGTTAAATTTTTTTTCCTGAATTTTAAATCTAACATGAGCTTCTTTCCTCTAACAATCAGTGAAAAAAGTGCTGGGTCAATTGACTAGTGTTTGGGGGAAGGAGTTGGGTCCCTGTAAATACACTAAACTCAGTCTTAGGACTCTTTGGTAGATTCAGTTGGATTTTCTGAGAGTGGAAAGAAAGAGGTACAACTACTTGTATCCTCAGAAAACATGGAAACGGTTTGATCCTTTTTAGTCTTTCTCTGAAGATGTGCTGCATGGGGCTGGAGCAGCTCTTACTGTAGGCTTCAGTTTCCCCACTATGGAGGCAGCAAACACCATTTCAGGGTGCCCTGGCCAATGCTGCCCAGGTGAATATGAGCTGCTTTATCCCGGTGGGTGGCGACAGCTGCTAGTCCCTGTCCTGCTTGCATACTGGAGTCACCTTTCATCCTCTCCTGCTGCGGTGATGTCCTTCCCTGGCCTTCGGTAGCTTCCTCACATGCCTGTGCTCACTGGTGGTCTGCTGACACCAGAGGAAGACCCTCTGTGGATATCCAGGGTTCTTTCCCTGTGCAGCTCTCTTCTCTCTACCTCCCTGCCCTGCAAACTCCAGCTACTGGGACTCTCTGATTCAGAGTTTCAACTCATAAAAGTCCGGGTATCTGCCTGGCTCCACCAGGAAACTCCACACAGGACACTGGGCCAGTCACATGGCTTACCTCAATTGTTTCCCAGCTCCCACCAGTCACTGTCCTTCACTGCCCCATAGCCAGTTTATTCTCTGTGTTCCATATATTTGGTCTGGTTTGGGGGTTCTTTCATGTGGCAGTACATAGTCCCTGTTACTCCATAAGGAGGAACAGTTTCCCTTTGCAGAATCTGGAGAGCTCTGCCAGTGGTGACAGTGGCACCGGTCTTGAGCTTATGAAGATGACACTTTGTTCTCTCCCTGTTTTACTCATTCCTGTCTCTTTCTTCCTTAATATTTTTTAAACGTTAATTATTGATGGACAGTTGACAACTTAGATCTTTTACTTTTTAAGAAATTATTTTTTTGGACACAGGGTCTGGCTCTGTCACCTAGGCTGGCACATTCATGGCTCACTGCAGCCTTGACCCTCCAGGCTCAAGCAATCCTCCCACCTCAGTCTCCTGAGTAACTGGGACCACAGGCACATGCCACCATGCCTGGCTAATTTTGTGTTTTTGTAGAGAGGGGTCTCACTGTTGCCGAGGCTGGTTCTGAACTCCTGGGCTCAAGTGATCTTCCCGCGTGGGCCTCCCAAAGTCCTGGGATGACAGGTGTGAGCCACCGCACCCAGCCCCATATAACTCAAACCTGGCCCCAATTTAGCTCTGACTCCCTTCCTCTTCCTCTCATGATGCTTCTGTTAGATTCCATTCATTTCTGAGGGATTTCCCCTAAGGTTAAAAATTGCCCTGTTTTCCCATGGCTTAGTCATCATTATCATACGATGGTAATACTGTAAACCATCTCCCTTGCCCTCTGTCCTCCGTCTGGCTGGCTCTGTCCGGGCTGACTGACTGCACAGCTGCCATCCCACAACTTCTCTTTATCCTGGGTCAGAATCCAGTCCTGCCTTGCATGTCCTTCTCTTTACTGTTTTACTCCTTATTTGTGTAGTTGGTTGTTTTTTTAACTCAGGCTTATTAAGGCATCATATACATACTGTGAACTTCCCCTCTGCTGCATGGACAGGTCCAAGAGTTTTGGTAAATACCAACGGTCCTGTAACCACCACCACTGTCTGGCGCCGTGGCCCCACAGCTGGACGGCTGGAGCTGGCAGCTTTTAAACCCAAGTCAGATGGCCTCTGTTCTCTGCCCTAAGCCATCCAAGCCACCCTATTTAAAACTGCATCTCACTGGGCTGGGCACAGTGACTCACAACTGTAATCCCAGCATTTTGGGAGGCCAAGGCAGAAGGATCACTTGAGCCCAGGATTTCAAGACCAGCAAGACTCCATCTCTACTAAAGGAAGGAAAAAAAATAGCTGGGTATGGTGGCAAGCACTTGTAGTCCTAGCTACTCAGAAGGCTGAGGCAGCTGGATCACTTGAGCCCAGGAAATCAAGGCTGCAGTAAGTTGTGATATTGCCACTGCACTCCAGCATGAGCAAGAGGGCAAGATCCTGTCTCAAAAAAAAAAAATAAAAAGTAAAAATAGTAAGATTCGATCTCACCTGGCCAGGTGTAGTGGCTCATGCTGGTAATCCCAATACTTTGGGAGGCTGAGAGGTGAGGATTACTTGAGGCCAGGAATTCAAGACCAGCCTGAACAACATAGTGACACCCTATCTCTACAAAAAAATAAAAATAAAAATAAAAATAAAATACACCTGGTAGAACAGAGTGCACTTACACACCCAGCTACTCAAGAGGCTAAGGTGGGAGGATCCCTTAAGCCCAGCAGTTTGAGGCTTCACTGAGCTGTGATCTTGCCACTGCACTCCAGCCTGGGCAACAGCAACACTGTGTCTCAAAAAAAAAAAAATTGCATGTCACCTTCTCCCCACCT